TCATCCATCGAAACAACCACCTACTCAAACAACTGGTCGTTTATCAAGCTGCGCATTTCAATGATGTTATTGCATAATGTGAATTCCGATAGAATTATTCATCTGAAGAATATACATGCACCGATTTTTATTTTTGGAATCTCAAGGGACTTGTGACAATCCAGGTGATCGTCAGTAAAATGAAACTGTCGTCAAAATGACAGGCTTTCGTAATCGAATTTTGTTTGAGAAATTAATTTGTAGATTTTACTTTCGAGTGTTAAACTCAGGCTTCACACCGGCTGATATTGGCAGAATGTGCGATTGCCTCATGCTCTACAGTTGGGAGTACGAGTGACCAGCAAATTCCTCTCGTTGGATTGAGTGCAACGAGTTTTTCAAAAGTTTTCTGTGTGGATAGTTTATTTTATGAATTATTCAATAAGCCGTTCTCCTGCTAAAACTGATGAACCGAGGACGACAAAACTGAAATTCTGAGCGAATCAGTTCTCACCCATTCTGCCTCTTTCTGGATTTATGGTTTCCCTGCGATCTTTCTTGAAGTGTTTTCGAAGGACTTCAAACTCCTACCGAGTCGTTCAAGCACGTTTCCAACAATAGGCACATACCGATCGTGTGACTCTTCCGGTATTTGTTACCACGAAATTCTAGTTTTTGCCACAGATTGTTTGAGGAAATATTAACTAACGCGGCTCATCTGTTTCACAGCAACCTTCTCAAATGCATTTCAAATTATTCTACTTGGAGATATTACAAACACCTATTCGATCGTACAAAGGCTCATGAGTGTCCTGTTTCGTCCTATTCTGCACGACTCCTCAAAAAGCCAGGTAAACTTATTTACTCAATCAAAATATTTTGTCAAACCTATGAAAGCTGAATATCCACCCCTCTGGGTGCATACACTATGTTCTTGACCCGAACTGGCTGGTTTGCCTTTTTACCTCTTTCAATATAAAAGTAGTCGTAATCGCTAGTGAATGATAAATGTTCGTCTGAAACTCCTGTGTTAAATTTGATTGGATCAAAAGGGTTCTCGAAACCTCATGTCTGCTTTTGTGAATGAGTTTACTAGTCTGATGGACAGGTAAAGGAGCCAGTCGATAACATATTCCTACTTCACGATACTGATTAGTGGGACCAGTGCATTTACCACATCGAAATCGATTGGTGAAACCTATGCATTGTCATCAATCCGAAGTGGATCAAAATCAATGAGTTACGCTTCAAGTTCGATAACTAACAAAACCGTGACGAATGACGGCACAGTGGAGGAAAACCTCAGTTTATTTCATTGAAAAATAACACTTATATTTCATTCACGTTTCGTAGGCCATCATTTCAAGCGGAACTCCAGTTGGAAAACGAAACAAATTTTGGACGCAAACAATCTGAATAAAAAACAGCGTAACCACACAGATATTGAATTCAATTTATCCCCATTCCTTATTTCATTGTCAATTCTACCGGGCAAATATAAAGCCCAATTGTCCAGTTGTTGCTCCATAAACTCCTTAGACAACTTTGCATTACACGATACGTTTTCCAAAGGTAATCCCGACAGTTTCAACGATCAGTTCAAATACGTGTTCAGTTCTTCAAATAGGACTTTCAGCTTCTTCTGAATATAACAATGTTCCCTGAATAGCTATCAGCTATATGCTTTTCGAATGTTCGTCTTATTAAAACTGATGGGTACGATCTGTTCTCGTCAATTCACAAACAATTATTGTGATGTTTTTTGTGGTAAAACTGAACATATGTAAATTTCCATGAATGTGACGTCTATTGCAGATATTACCGAGCAATATATCTTCATATGACTTACAATTTGCAACACACAATGCAAAATTGGATACCCTGAATGACGTTACTCAAGAGAAAACGTAATATTATACTTGTATTCTAGGTTTTTGGCCTAATTTCTTTTTGCTGGCTCTCTGTAATCTTATCTTTTACTTTATGTGCCGCTTAGACAGAGAGAAAAGTTGAGGGATGTACGTGGCCAGAAGACTCTGTCAACATTGATCGCTCGCGACATGTACATAAGTCATGGGACTGCTTTGATCTATAGACTGTTAAGAAAGGTGGCCCAGTTCTGCTTGCAAACTGTATGACATCTTTTGCACAGATTCCGCGGCAAATCTGGAGTCATCGAAGCGGATCGACGCCTCAAGTAGTTCGTGACCAAAAAGGGAACGAAATAGGCTAATCATCCGTCAACCGTCATTCTCACCAAACTGAACGTTGGCAACGAATCAGCGAGAGGATATCAGTAAAATAGCTGTTCAAACTAAAAGAGGACACGATTATGTCAAATGTTCCATATCTACGTGCTTCTTGCAATGGTACTGACCGGGGTCAGATATTGTCCTATGATAACTTATGGTTTTTGCACAAAAACACAAGATGATTCCCAAACCGATGGGATTGAAGAAAAAATCCATGAAGTGATCCCGTCCATAAAGTGTACCACAACATAGCGTAGTACAATTAGAACAGTACTAATCGGAATGCAAATGAATGCGTTATTTGATATAGGTAAATAACCACGTCCACAGTTTATTTATGGACATCATAGTGACGTTCGAAAACGATGCGAAAACCATGAAACTGATGCAGAGAATGTACTTGTTCACCTGCAAAGCAATGGATATGTTAAAGAATTTTGCTTTTGGTGGTGTTATTTCCGCCCCGAATTTTTAAGACTACTTTGTATACCTCCAATGATGTCATATTGAACTTGACCAAGTCAGACGTTTTCATTGATGTTACATAACTGATGGTATTACCGCTCCCTCATGTATAAAAGTTTTCATTTTTGTGGAATCGAAATCTTTTGAACACTCCACAACCAAGGTACGTCAAAGTTACAAAATTCTGTATACCGGTGATGGCGAATTCAGTATTTATACCGGTATGTGTGCGTTGCTAATAATAACAGTGCAACAGCAGAGAATATTTCTTCTTTGACAACAATACCCGTACTGCGACTACTGCCTAAACAATCATTTCTGATATAATCCGACACACCTGCTTAAGAATTGTGGATGTGCCTGTTGGAGCAAAATAATTTTGCCATTCAATCCATCGATGTGATTGGGAAATTTCGTAATCCCTGCCAATCATTCGGGTGAATTGGATTTTAGTGGAAAAATTCAGATCATTGTGTTCCGAAAATATTTATTATGAACAATAAAATGTCACTTAAAGCAATGATTCAACAAATGTAAGGAATTATATTAGAGTTGTTCAGAGGACGGAAGGCCTAGAATAGATCACAGCATACATTCAAAGGGTCCTCCCATGTTTTTTGTTCCATGGCTTGACAGTCAGCGCCTGATGAATGGAGAAACTTCAATATGAGTTGTGTTGTCAAATAAGAGCATATTTGAAATACTTTGTGTACTCTGAAGCAAAAGCACAGTCTTTTTCTGAATGCAAACTCACAAATTGGACGCTGTTGGAAAGAAGAGATAGTATTTATTGGTATATCTTAACTGAGCCTGGCATAGTACGACAATAAAATGAAATCCTTTAACATATATACACAAAACTAATGATGTGTTCGGTCTTTTGTGAAATATTCCGGCTGAAATGTCAGGTGGAACTTTTTTAATCAAAGCAAGTAACTATATGAGAGATAGTTTTCAAAGATATGTATCCTAATCAATATGCTACCGCATTGCAGACGAATATATTTATTGTTTTGATTTGGGGTGGAAAATAATTTACTGATCGAACTGTCAATTTTCATAAAAAAGACTTGAAAATGAAAACGCTATTGATTCGTTTCCTTAAGCTCACTGGCAAATAGCTTTCCTGAAATTCACCGTCATTTGTGGAGTATTCATTCGCACTGTGCTTTAGAACTGCTCTGTACGTGCATCCGTTGAGCCTATAATTTTATTACCAGTACACTGTGACGAACTAGATTTACTGAGTAAACTAAAGTAGTTTCACTTTTCTTTCCCATTAACTGGTTTCGAACTTATCTAATGGAAAATTTCTTTTCTCTCAGAATGAATGTTGCCGAGCTCATCCGTTATACATTGAAGCTTGTGGAGCAAAAATCGCTATCGTTCCCTGGTATAAAACTTAAGATGTGTTATTCAGTGCGCGTGCCCTTACAGTGGTAAATGTTTACGTGTAAGAACATCAACTTCTTTCGGAGCCGTGGTAAATCGGGATGCATATGTCATTTTATGATTGTGCACGAAGAACAGCTTATTATTATTCTCAGCTCAGTATCATTGTTGTCAGCCTGCTCATTTCATCTGAAGTCAAAATTTGGATTAACCGATCCAGTCAAATCAATTGTTCGGTCAATGGTTTTCCCCAAGTAATCGATTGAAAGCCAACACCATGCTCGGTTTTGGCCGAAAAAGTGCTAGTCATATGAGCGAAGGATGTGAATTGGAAATAATCCATCCGTGTGCGTTTGCCGAAGGAAAGCATATCTATTGTCTTTTAAAAAAACAGATCACGGATCAACTAGTCTCTGAAGTAAGTCAATCAAAATACACCTTACGATTAAGAGTCGTTACCGTTGTCTCATGGAAAATCATACGTATGCCCACTTTATTGGAGAATGATGATCCAGTGTTGACTATGCAGTGGCTCTTGACGATATACTGAACACAGTGCGGTTTCGTTAGACTGTAAGTAAAGACCAGTCCATTGTTGATTCGAAATCTCATATGAAGTTTTAACCATGGCGAACGTTACGCAATGTACAGGCACAAGTATAAGCTTTCAGATACCAGTTGTACATAATTCTGAGAATGCGCAATTTAAACGGTGAATACTCGACTCGAAATAAATGACAAAGTATGAAATTAATTTACATAAATAAACGTTTGTAAACATGATACCAACTTTATGTGGGTTTTAAAGCACATTTGAACAAAGTTTTCTTCATACGGAAACCATTAGTGATTTTCTACTAGATATTCATATGAAATCATATGAAATCGTGATGAAACTCATTCAGTGAATTGTTACAACTTACGCTGGTTCTGGTATCCCTGAACTATTGCGAAAGAAAATTCCACGGGAAATATTGATTTATTACTTCATACTCCATTCCGTACTGAATTATTTGACAGTCAAACTGATGCACTTAGAAATACTTAGTGTTCAAAATGAAACCTACCTGATTGCGCGTATGGGTGAACATACTGGCCTTACTCATCATTGACACCGCAAACTGTACTCACCATGAAATATGTACATTCTCATAGAACCAGAATGCCAAAGCTACCTCACTAATTCATTCTGATCTACGTCTGAACAATCTGATTATTGATTTCATTTGTAGTGCTCGCTTCATCTTTCTACCTATAGTGGCTCTATGTCCAAATCACTTTACAATGCAATGTGTTTGTTGTTGATTGTTCGGTTCATACTTCAATCAAGATGAATGGGCTTTCAGAAATGTGCTTATCATATTTGTATCTGAAATTTTATTGTTTCACATTTATTCTGGGAATTTTCTATTTGGTTTTGGAATCCTGAACGCAAGTGGGATCATTTGGGTAAAAGACGCGATTTTTAATGACATACCTACTCTAAAGTATCACGCAATTCACTTAACGTTTAGCACACCATATGGACACTGGTCCCACTGCTCTACTTGCATAATACATCGAATCAATACAATTACTCACGTCATGGATTGAACCCACAATACGTTTTAGTGCTTATGACATCAGGCTATTGGACGCTCATATTGAGAAATGAATACCAAATAGCTTCGAAGTCCGGCAAAGACAGAAGTAATAATGGTCAGCTGAACCATGATATTAAATTGGCACTTGAGACCTCAAATGTTGATATGTAGAAAAATTTTGGATTACTATGTATCGATGTCGAAAATATTTACAGGGCCGCTGGTGGAGAGTTCCAAGTGTATCACGTCAGACCTGATAACCCCGTTAAACAATTGGCTACGGCCAGATATGTCACACTGCATAGTTGAAGTTTATTCTGCCCTGAAATAACGAAAATCTAAGGCCCCAAATCCAGAATAATGCTAAGCTTGGTTCCATGATAGGGCATTGATAAACCGGTTTACACATTCGGTTTATCCACGAAAAACAGAAAGGAAGGTTCAAGCGTAATTTATGGTGGTATGACTATAGGATTTGTCCACTGTGTTATCGTGAGTGTGCAGAATACTGAACCTGATCGGTGTGAGTAAAATATTGACATTGATTGGCTACCTATGGATTCGTGAATCCTACTCGAAAATCATCATTTTCAAATAAATATGATTTTAGAAATAATAGATAGTTCTTGAAACTCACGGATTTTTTCAACTTTGTCTATCGCTAAGGTATTTGTAAACAAAATGTTGGGACGTAAGCAACCCATTCGGAAAGATAAATAGAGTGTACCGTACCGTCAACCAAGGGAAAGGCAATCAGTGTCCAGAAGCCATAATGAGATGAAGTAGCCTTCAAGTTTTATTGAACAACCTCAGCGTATTTGTTATTCATTTGTGGACCTCGTTGATAGCATCCTTCTACCAGTGACAAGGCAACATGTTGAAAACATTTTCAAAGGCCCTTAAGGTTATACATTTCACCACATTAGCCCAGGAAACACGCATGGCTCTCTGTATAAAAAAGAGCAAAAAGCAGAGGCAGAATATACCGGGAAATTGTGATGTGCAATGTACTACACAAATGAAGTTGGCGATCAGTTGCCCTTCCCATAAAACGTATAGAGTACCATCTCAATCGACTAATTCTAAGATAGTTGTGGATTGGAAAGTCAGTAGAAAGTTATTCACATTCCCTGTTATATTTCGCAGCGTAGTGTTCCCGTACAATACATCGTATATATATATATATATATATATATATATATATATATATATATATATATATATATATATACATATACATATATATATATATGCCTCACAGTTTTTTCAGCTTATTCGAATAACCGTAGGTGTACATGCTTTTCGCACAGAATAAAAATCACCTAGGCAAACGAAATGAGAACCGAATGACAAATGCAACCTTGCGCCGAAAATGATGTACGCATAAAACGGAAATATATTCTCGAAAACATTCTGCCTGGCGATTCAGTGATAAAATTATTCCAAAGATTCTCTTAAACAGTGAGTAAAAACCACTACAAGTGGGTAACTCTTCGGATAATTTCTTGTTTATCCCTGTTTATACGTTTCCTCGGTTCATCGCAAATGTTATTTTATTGCAATTCCGCTGCTGATTTATGATGCGGATAAAGTTATCACTTTTTATTGATATGCCTTATTCGTTTCGTTGTTTACAGAGCTGAGTGCAAGAAGACTGGCTAAATTTGTCCAATGGCACTTTGTGAGTTAATTCTGATAAATCTTCTCAACACAAAATACAGCTTACTGACGATCAATGAATAGTATTTCAGTCAAAATTGCAAATAAAGGACGAGAGTGTGGTAAGTGAACCACCCATTTTCCAAAAATCACGACTAAATGCCAATTGTGTTCTTATTTGATCATACGTCTTCCTGACAATCACAGGTTCGACTTAATACGTAACTCAATGTGGTACCGACCTGTCTGATTGCTGAAGGATTTAGCTAAGTGTCTGCATGTCCAAACTCGCATGGCTCTCAGCATGAGTAGCGTGCAAAATCCCGAATATCCAAATGTCATCCAGAAGTTCCACCGGTAACCGCCACCGGGAAGTGCCCAGTACAGTGTTCACAATATTTTCAAAAATATTCGAGAGTAAATCATCAGACGTGTACTTTTCCAGCCAGCAAACTACACTTAATCCGTCTAGATTGTCTGCTTTGCTGGAATTATCACGGTATAACAATATTGCTACCATCAAACTGAAGTACACGATATACCGAACACTGCCGATATCTCCATTTTTCCATTTGACCCTCGTTTTTGTCTTCTGAAATAGTTTATTATCAACTACCTATTTTACGGCTAAATGTAGTAGTCACTAATGGACTATGAGGCATCGAAAGAGAATATCAGTGTAAAAGAAAAGTATTTGCTTTCTAGAGTTCATCGGGTAGTCATCAGTAAGTATAAATAGATAGTCAACCGATTCCTGCTGATCGCATTTTTGAAAGTTGTTTAATTTTGGGATCATATCTTTCCGGTTTTTTTCCATACAAATAAAAGTGTTCTACCATTTGTTTCTAGGCGAATATTCGATATAAACTACTGCTTGATATTGCGACCTAAATGTGGCCGTTTATAGTTTAACCTAGTAAGAAATTCATATGGTAATTCACCTGAATAGATGCTTACCCGTACCAATGGTCTTTTTCCTAAGTTTGCCTGTATTATGAAAAACAATTTCTGATTAGAACTGTTTGAGCGGGCTGATTATAACTTAAGAAGAGGAACATAACACTTCCATTTTTATTGCGCCATTAGTAGTTTATAGGTGAAATAAAATCCTCTTTCATCGTCAGGTGGAATTCGGAAATGACGATAATGTGCACAGACCGCTCGAAATGGTGTGTTCTAAGGCTGGAGAGGATCATAACCGGCCTCGTGCTCCCCTTTCAGTATTCTGTTTAGTTTGAAAGAAAAGACCTCACTATCGCGTCCGAAAAATGAGTAAAATTAGCCTACCAAGAACTGCTAACCAAACTGGTGTGATGTTTGTTGTGAGCAAATATAAGTTCATGACTTTTGGATTTGTTTCCTACATGCTTTCTAAACAGTGCACGGAAATAATGTACTCCATAAGAGACCGTTGGCAAGCACGAGACTTGGATTGTTGTACCACATAATGCTCAAATGGGTCAGCTACGCTAGGGATTGATAAAGCATTGAGTAACTATCTACTACCAAATGGACTGGCAGTCCAGTGATTGATACCTCCGATTTTGGATGCTGCACTATCACTCAACTCATCTCTCGACCAACATTGTACACAGTTTTGCTCTTATTTCCACTTATATCTCGGTAGTAGTATACATATTTACCCAAAATATGTGTAACTTTTAGTGAGCTTGGTTCGATTAGAAAAGTACATCAACACATTTGGAAAGCAGATTCGAAATGGCAGTGAACGAATCCAAACAGCTCAGAATAAGTACGCTAAATGCTGTTTGAAAGTCAAGCAAGTTCAGATTTGTAATAATCTGATAGATATTACATTCACTGTTAAGGATTTACATAAATGAACGTAGACATGATTTTGGTTGGAGAGCGTGTGAGATTTGCGTTGGACTAAGAAATGATTTGAACCAGTTGGATTATAAAAATGAGACAATATCTGAGAAAGTAAACCGGTTGTAAAACCACTCTTGAAAAAGGTTATATGTGGTGACCGAAACGTCAACGACCTACCAACGATTTCGACTACACTGTGTTTTTGAGCAATGAAATTCTACCTTAACAATTCACATGGCGCAGCGATCTTTCGACACATTCCAAACCGATCTCTGTTCTGACACATGAAAGTAACCCTGTTCAAAAATCATGAATCTTTGAGATTCGAAATTGAAAACAACAAGATCCCTGCTAAGAAATTGATGTGAGAGAAACAGTTCACAGAACTGTTTATTAGACTGGAGTATAACGGTATTTCATATCCCACCTGTGTCTGTTCGGGTAGAGAACATTGGAATGAAACACAGCAAGGAGGAACTCAGTCAAGTTTCAATAAAGTTCCAATAAAAAGATTGGAAGTTGGATATTCCAATGGGTTGGTTGCTTCAGACTTATTTTACCCAAATCAATAAATGCGAGTGTTACTCACATAAACAACGAGAACACTTTGACAAACATGTTAGCCTAAATGTGGCTGACTTCAACTGCTGTCAAGCGAATTGATGCGGAATGACAATGATGATTAACTTGAAAGAACGAAACGGATTTTGAGGTGGTATGCGGATGATGCTGCTGCTGGGTTCCGTTCACCTTTTAGAACTTCAACTGAAATATCATACAAACGTAGTGTTCCAACTTCAAGTGTCTTCAGTGCTGACATGTAATTTCTGGCTACCCTCAATAAGTAGATGAAGACAAAAACTATAACTCACTTTTAAACAATAGGTCACTGATATTTTCTACAAAAGCGGTTATATAAAATGAACCCTTATTATTGTCGCCCAATAACAAAACTGTATTGAATCAGGGAGAAATACTTCGTTATGCAGAATTACAGCCTGAGCGAAAAAAGCAGTCAGAATCTCGATCGGTTTTGGCCAACTGCCAACTATACTCACAAATGGTATTTATGTGCAACAAAACACAAGCGATTGTGGGTAAATTTTTACTTCGTTGAGGCTGCTTTGATTGAGGGAGCCTTTTGCTCATTTTGAGACTATTTGCAAATTCGATGACAACCTACAATAATTTGGCATGTATATACGAGTAGAATTTAATACACTTGTACTGTAGTGCTCATTGCAGCTCATTTTTGCTGGCAGCCATTAGTAATTCGTGGTGTTTTGTAAACCACGTAGGAACCACACTCAGAATATTTCGAAAAACGATGTGCACCGCAAGAAAAAATAGAATGGGAACGACCTTGCATTTTCAGAGGAAACATGTTGGTCAGCCGGTGTTTAATTGGGCGCTGGGAAACGTTCTCAAGGAAATATTACTGATACGTCACTCTTGAAAATCAGGTGAAGACCGAACAATATGTATAATTGTTTATGTGCATGTGTATGTAACACTTATTGGTAGTGTCACCCACTTTTTTAGAATTCAAAGGCCACAAGATCAACAAATGATGTAACCTTTGAAATGCTATTCAATAATAATGTCTTTGCGCTCCGAATTCCGGGTATCACAGCCTCTTTTTTCATGTGATGCAAGCAAAATGCATATTTATTGGGAAAAAGTCGGCAGACATCCTTTAGGTACATGAATTCAATAACATTGGGAGATTTGTATGTTGTCGCGCGTTATGCGGTGTTTCTCACATATGGCATGATTGAGGTTTTCAAATCCCGCTCTATATTCATCGAGACCTTCACGTCACACCATTTTCCGAAAAGACCAGTTATTCTCATATTTTGTGCCTGGACTTAATAGCCAAAAAATATCGTCAACAAGTTCTACGTACATTGGTTGAAGGGTTTTACAACCCATACATTGCATCAGATTAGAATAATTTTTAAGAATCTTGGTGGCAAATTCATGGAGAGAAAATTTGATGACAGCTCTATCGATCCATGTCGATATTGTCAGCCTGAATTAAAGATAGTTTGCATTGAAACAAAGTATTGAGATTTCGGTAGGTTCGGGAGGATTCCAGAGGCTTCACTCTTGTGAAGACACAAAACATTATTTAGTATATTTATCATCCAAACTCTTTTGCAGCTTCACAAGCCCAGTAGAGGGGTCACACTGAAGCTCAATGTGTATTCCCAATCACCTTGATAAATGTGCTAAACAATGTGACCAAATTCCAGAGCGTGATGAAGGTGAATATCCGAAACATTTTGATATAATTCCAACTAAAAGCTGAGATATCTTTCCTCCCCGTAGTTGCCAGGAATGCGATTTATCATCAGGCAAATATGCATGACCGATTTGTGGATTTTTGGTGACTCAGAAAATTACTTAGGTGCCAACCATTTTGTGTCAAAGAACAACACTGTCACTTAAAAAACATCTTATTTGATATTTATGGTATATTTAGTCCTGTCAACTTTTCCTCCAAAACCGACGGCTTTCACTTTCGTGCGTTCCCATTTTTCACCGAAAACATTTTCATGGTGTTTCACAAAATTCGGTTAGACTCATCAGGGTAATTTGCCAGTGGAATCACCTTTGCCACCCTTGTCGATACGTGGGAAATAGTACTCTTCGGAGGAAGTCAATGTCCTCGGTTCATTCCGTTATGTCGATCCAAAATAACTTCTTATTTCGGAAGCATTCCAATGTATGCCGATATCCGTAAACTGTTTCACGTCAGTGAAGTTATTTTCTGAGGAGAAACTGAGGACAGATTGTAGCAGGTGCAATCCGGTTGATATCAAATACCTGTCGGAAAACCCCTAAAAGAGATTTCAGTATATTTCAACTTTTCTTCACTGATTTTCACTCCGGTTGTATTTTGGTTGTCTTTCCTCCCGATAATTTGCCAAACCTAATTGATATTCGTTGAACGTCAGATTTAAAATTGTGAAGATATCGTTCTAAAGTGACCAGAACCACGTCCAAAAAGCTAGGTAAAAAATGATGAAGACATGCATAACGATTCTGTATTTGAAAACTGGAGAGACCTCCCAATTTATGAAATTCGAAATACGAACGGCGATCATGCCCCTATAGATTTTTATCGATTGGCACATTTCTTCAAATGAATACAAATTACCGTACCAGAACATGTGAGTGCGGAGTTGAGAAGCAGCTGAGATTCAGTTATTAAAATATACAGTTTGTTTTGGTGAACATCAAAATGTTCTGAACAGACAGTAAGTTTGTATCAGCTGAAATCCTCCGGGATATCACATATACAGAGGTAAATCGCCTACAAATGCGAATGGATTTTTGTGTTGGAATACTGTTCCTAACTTATTCCCATATGTTGCCTCTCAGTAGAAAGTGAACAATTCATATCTGTGCATTGATATATTTGAGTAGTATACGGGAGTTCCAAGTTGCCTTCCAACCTAAATTAATCTGTTGGTGCTTGCAAGCGGCATACGTCACACGATACTTGACTGTTCAATGAGCAGCTAGTCGCGTTTACGAAAATGAGAATTTTCAGAAGTCTTCAGTATTTCGTTTTGAACGCAATTATATGAAATCCGAGTCTTCAGAACGGATGGGAGAAATTTCATTATATAGAAGAAATGTTGTAAGACCACTTTTATATGTGTCCTTTAGAACGAAATGTGCGTTCTATAACCAGCATTTGAATAAGGGAATAGCTGAACTCAGTTTGTAAGTTCTAGAGTTGCTAAAAAATTATAAAAGGAATCGATCGTACAAATTTTACTTGGTGCGAGATTATCGCATGGAATCAGTACAGCTGAACCACTTTACTCTTGCCATTTGCATTTTTTGATTTATTAAACGATAGGAATGGTTTACTTACTGACTGTTATGGGTGCCTCGTGTTGCATTCCTTCAATAAAATAAGATTTTGTCTTAAATTTTACATCATATCAGTGCATTGTTATTTATAATAATTAGAGATCGCAAACATGAGACGACCTGCAAAACATCGCAACAACCAGTAGGAGATAGTTCCTGGCCATGGGTAAATCGGGAGCATAAATGTAAGTGATATAGTTACCGTATATATGTATATTTATATCTTTTTTTCCTAAACATATTGATGTGAGCTTCTCATACTCAGTAAAATCGGAGCTCTTATGGCTCCTGTTGTCGGATCATGTATATATATGGAATTATGTCATCCTCTGAACTGTATCTCTATACAGATTATGGAGCTGTTTCCACTTGTGTGTTTCTTTCTACATCGGTCCTACAATATTTTGGTTAACAAATGGTCCAGGCATGTATTAAAATAAGTTAGGTTGTACGATCAGAACACAAAAATGACTCGTAAGTTTTCCATTTACTTACTGTGATATGATAACATATTGAAATCTGAAGGGGGAATTTCGAAAGCAAAATAACAGCAGCTACGATGAGTTCAAGCAGTTAGTGTAAGTGATCCAATATTCGAAGTAAACCTCATCTGTGACATTTCTCACCGCATACATTTTTCTAAGACAAATCTTTGGACTCTTCCACTTGAATATCTGTTGTGATGGAAGTGTTTCTCGTTTATTTAAACATACCATTAGAGAATCAGTTTGTTGTGTTATGTCGCTTGTGATCGGGTAACAAATGTCTTCTTTCCAAAAAATACAATCTATATTTCGGTCTCCGACCATTGCCCTTTACTGGTAGCACCCCTTTGCCTGTCGTAGCATTTGATTCGGGTATTAGAAACTAATTATAGCAATCTGTGTACAGCGAAGGTAACTCATGACTCAGACAATCCATAGGGCTTGTTTATCATTGCGAATATTAGATACAAGAAAAATGTTTTATCGTACGAATCTTCATGTGTTAGTACCACACAAACCACCACTGGAAACCACAGAAGCATTTTACAAAATATTTAGGTCAGAGTCGCAGCAATAGCTCGAGAGATGGCTGTTGAGTGGTGCAAAGTTATAGGTACAAGCTGGTGTCATCAGCCCCGCTGATACATGATAAATCATCTAAGAGGTCCTGTATGCCGCCCCAAAGTTTCAGTGGACTCTCGAAATTTGTTCTAAACTGGTAGCGGACAGTTTTGTGATCTAAACGGGCGAGTCAATAACACAATCCTATTATAAAACGACTAATTGTTAGCCTACATAAGAAGGAACATTAGAAAGTATTCCATTCGATATTTGGTTGAATGAGCTAACCATACAATTTTGAGTCCAACCATCATCATTGGGAATTGCTCCATTTTGTTTCAAGACGACAGGCGATGAAATTATAGGCATTTAGAACAATCATATGGCGAGGCATACTACGTAACCTGATCAGTTATTGATTTAACGTGGCAAGAGAGTGAATGAGAAAAAGCATTTAAATTCTTGGGATCAACAATGCATTTGCTGCTAACTACGAGATGCTTTGCTCAACTTCACTTTAGATCGGAATCACCAAAGCAAAACATTTTGCAATTAGAGATAACTTTGTAAAATCTATCGGTATGGGTTTATTTTGATGCTGTTTTTTACCAGTGATATAGAAATGCTCTCCTATTGTTTTAAGTTTATTACATCACCAAATAAATACGATGTACTACCTGACATGACCTGTGAATTGTCCTCAAATTGGTTACCATGCACACTTCTCCTGATGTCAAAAGCACCACATACGAGAAATCTAACTATCCTGTATTTTGCTTTCCAAAAAGACTATTCGAATTCTGCTAAGACATGTCCGTGAGTCCACCTGTGGATGGACTGCCTCAGTACTCCAAAAGGTGGCATAGGGAATTGTTTACTCAAAATCACGTCATAAAATTGATAGAATGCACCGGAATCACGTTTCAGTTTGCCGCTAGTTGTTCTGACAACAGTTCAATGCCTTTGTTGTCGTATTTTGCTCAAGCAAAGCGCAAATGGATGCTTAGGCTTAAGTTGGAGACGAATACCGCAGACCAATTGTGACTCAGTAGTAGCACTACAATTTCCCTTTTGAAGGTCGAATGTACAGTGTTCTTGACTAAGGACGACAAGTTTCAAATATCGACATCAGACGTGTAGAAAATGGCCCTACTTGAATATACCTTTCAGATTTTGTTGACAACGGCTTATGAATCTACATTTATGGGTTTATTGAAATCCGGAGTTGACATCTTCAGAAAAGGTTACGTAACCAAAACTACGTGATTACTGCATACGTTTGACATCATGAAAGCTTACATCGTTTGAGTGCACCTAAAACATTTTTTTCAGCAGTTGGGTAAACATTGATTGACTCGAAACGTGCACCAATATACGGTGAAAATTATTCCTAATGACAGATTAGGTAACGCTCTAACTGATATGGAATATTTAAATACATAGTGGGAAACCAAGAAACGACATTTGGAAAGTTGCCAAGGCCAATAAATGGATGTGCTTGAGAAATCAATCGGTCATTGTCGAATCCAATGTGGGGACTGATGGGTTAAAACTAGTGCATGGTATGAAAATGTATTTGTTAGTTAACTGCAGTAATTATGGGGCACTAGAATTTTCATTTAAACGTGGAAGTATGATAGAACACATGATGCAACTTTGTTGAAAAACAGCACAATTTTTCAAAAAAGAATAAAAACCTACCATCTTGTATTGAAAGGACTGTATATATAAAGGAAAACCAAAATTATACAGATTAAACGCGTTTTTGCCCGCTGCGCAATGTTGGTTTTTCCCGTATAGTTTAAACTCAGAACAGTACGTGGAACCCGCTCCGAAGTAACAAATAAAAATATCCACAAACAAAGAAATTATAAAAAAAGAAGTTCACAAATTTAAAACTACAACGTAACAGTATAATTGAACAGAATTTACATGGTTGGCTTCCTAAATCTGTCAGAAGGGAAACAGCCCAAATTTTATGCATGAATAAACGAGAATGCTAATATATAATATAGCAGTACTTCATCCCTACTCCCTACGCAAAAATGCATAGCTTACGTGTACCGAGCATGGACAAAACTCTAATTCTTTTCAGTGAAGATGTGAATGGATTTGAGAAACAAGAATACCTGCTTGCTGGATGCGTTCAGTTTAATAATCTCTTAGTGAATGTCATGATCAGCAGGACCCCAAAAGTTTTTCAAGAACAACGCATTTTCATTAGTTTCAACAAGGGGAACCAAATTCAAACCCGCGTGAACCTCATTATTTCATGAAGTGGTATGATGGCCGTCGTGCATACCATTTGATTATCTGTAGAATGAAATGATTCAATAAACCCAACCAAGGTAAATAATTTAAACGGATTCTCCTAAATGACCGCTTTTCCTGTGAACAAGGGTGAATTAACATCAGTACATGCATTTAGCATGTGCTCATAGTTTATCGGAAATGTATTATAATTGTTCTCTCAAGGACTCACATCTTAGGAACCATTCCAAAGTATGCGCTGAAAATAGCAAGTAGCAAAAATAATGTGAAAATTGTATGTGCTGTGATTAATCCTTCAGAAAAAACATGGAAGTCTAGCATTTCAGAGCTAGGTTCTTTCTAGTTCCTTGATAATGATTAAGATTCACGAACTTTGGAAAATTCACTTAGCATTGGTTTGCATAATAACCCGAACTAATTGATAAACTTGGTTACAAAAGGGCAAAAACATGAAAAAATATCACAGACAAGTATGAATGTTGGAGTCGCGAGGCTATCCTAACTTCACGTTACATCATGAAGCATCTTCAGATACGTCAATATATATGTGTGATTTTATGCATTTAGAAGAACATCATAGCTGTGGTTCATAACTGTCAGTTCACACACACGGCATAACTACTCAGTATGCATGAAAAGGTGGTCCACACGTAATAAGTTGTCCTGTCTTCACCCATTTCCGAATGTTTGTTTTGCATAACTGGTAGAAATATCAAGAACTCACTTGGTAAGTTTATCGACATTTCGCCTAAGTAAACAATCACGGTGGACAAATAAATCATGTAGAAACAGTTTTTCCAGTGGACGACTTGGTGGTGATAACAACTAGTTTGCCTGGAAGATGAACTAAAACAACCCTTCCAATCGTAATCGCCAAACTATGGATTAAAGTTTACCACACGTGTTTCTCCCAAAGAAAAACGTATTTTGCAGCAATTTGATGCAAACGGAGTTACTGTTTTCTTTGGAAATTTTGCTGTTCTGCGTATTGCGTAAGTTGGAAAACGCGCATAACTTATTATTGAATAAAGATGATAATATCACAATGCGTGCTCGCTGCTCATAAATAAAATGTGCTGTTCATAGATGAAGAGAATGAGGGTTTTGGACATTCTCATCACCATCAATATTTATCAGCTCTACTTATATGCAGGGTAGTTCAAAGGGACAGGTAACCTCATTGTGCATGATTGTGTGTCACTCAAGCCATTAAGGAACTGTCCCGTTGTTTTTTGAACGACCTGTCCCAGCTCTGTTTTGCATGTCCTTAGGCCTTTATTCGTGAAACGAAGGAATTACCTAGCCAATACACAAAATCATGTTGTCTTCCAGGATTGAGTTCATATTACTCTAGGTCATTCTAAACTACATCGGGATTGAACAGGAGATATTTTCCATTTCCTTGCACTTATCCCGTAGCTTGTTGTCCTCCTTTCATATTCTGTGCACAATTGACGGCTGAACTCCCCCCTGCATTCTTTCTTGGCTGTCTTGAAAACGATCAATGGGTGCGGCATGAATGCTGTTGGTGATTGTCAATATACTTCTTAATCCTTTTGACCAATGCGATTCGGTTGCCCCACCGAGGAGAGACCCTCACCTGAGAGCGGTGTATATATATGAGACTGACTAATGTAAGGTTACCAATGCTCTTACTGACATAAGTGGCAATATATAGATTTCCTGTAATAGTACGTGTTAGAAATCACTGGGATAGATTTCACATTTGTTTCAATAACGACAATTCAACCAGTGACTAAATAGGCATCACCGTTTAAAATTGGTAGATAATTCTACTGCAGTAAAAAAATTACTGCTGCAAACGCCGTCACAGCATACAACTATTTGACGCTGACAAATATTTACAAAAAAGAAAACAGTTCATTCCATATAAAAGGGGAATGACCGTTTATATGGACGCACCTTGAGGAGTTTTCCCGCGCAGGAATAAACCAATCCCTGAAGAAGAAACAATAAATTCAAGTGTTCGGTATCTAATTGTCCTTCAGCAATATACTAATGGCTCAAACCAACCATTTTTTAGTCTCTCACAACTGATTTGCGGCGTTGAGGAGTTATTATCAATATTCTTGTTTCTTACAACTAAATAAAACTAAATCAACCAAGTAAAACCAAACTTATACGGTTTCTTGTTCAACCAAAGCTGTGTGTCAAAATTCTGTGGACAATTTTCATAACGATTCCAGTTATCACGATTGGGAATGAGTCGAGCCATTCCATTATCCTAAGATAAACACCATACATAAAAAATGCATACTGGCATCACGGGTTATGACGTTTGTGTATATCGCATTCGAGCACCGAAATAATCACCTACGAGAATCAATGAACTCTTGAACTCATTGGAGTCAACTGGATTTGAAGTTACTGCATGAAAATCAGATCGTCTTGAACAATGTTATGACACTAAATGTTTTTGCGAAACGGACATGCATGCCTTCCGTTAGTCAAACATTGCTGACCCATAAATGATAGGGTTTTTCTACTGAAAAAAAAGAAAATGAAGCACATTTCTACGTACGCTTTATAGGTCCAAATTTTATGATTGAGAGCATTCGGTTAACTGTAGAGGTATAAAAGAAAATGAGATCTGTAGAATGCATGATGTCAGTTGCGCTCCTATACTAGTTCAAACATCAATAATTCTTTGAAACTGTTATAACTACAGGTTTATCAACTGAAAAGTGACCTCTGAATGTGTTCAGCTGAAATTCCTATCGGATGATGTAGCATCAATAAAATGATAGAAACTGTGAAAGTTAACGTCGCCTTTATTCGTATATTTGTTCGAACATAAAAAAATGTTTCTGGGCTGCTCACGCATCACTCATTATCTCGCATCTGCTGATACTCATTTGAATAAACATCATCGGTGAAACGAGGATTTGTCATCTGTATCAGGATTTAGTAGAGCTGTACTGGCCGTCTTGCACTAGTATTCCACTAAAATCAGAGATTTATTTTGTGTAACGTAAACCAGTCATTTCTGAAAATCAATTTCTGTGGAGTCTCATGGGCAAATAGCTATCAGCTTTCCGCTACATTTTCGAAGGTGCGTTGACACCTAATGTTAATTTCATGATATGTTTTACCTGTCCCATTCAAGAAAGTGTATCATTCTCCAAGGGACACGAGTTGTTGTTGTACTTTAACTCTTTTGCAAACTTCACTAAGTTCCTTTGAAACTTTCCTCGCACTTTGGAAATCATCACAAGACGGACTTCCTATATCTGTGCTGCTTTGCTCTCACACCAACTATGATTATTACTAGCAGAAATATACATAATAAATACAATCAAAACCCCCGTGTATGATCAAAAGGAAAGCCATGCACACAAAAAGCTTTTGGTCACAATGGGGAAAGCAGCTGATACGTTCTGTGTATGATTTACAAGCGCGATATTCTTGTCGGTGTTGTTATCTTCCTTCTTGGTTATAAAGATAAGATGTACGACTATAGGGTAATAAATAGGTCCAAGGTACATCGCTTGCAATAGTTGGATCCGTTTCATTCACCTTGAAAAATAATTATACATGCTTTGCACACTGATTGGTGAAAGATGAATACTGCATACACCTGTTAAAATAAAAAACCGTTTGATTCGATGCTATTCACGAGTGTAATTTCGGAAGTCGCCAGGCGGGAACTACCTGCATCGTCCGAAATTATCTTGCAAAAATTGATTTCATTCGTACGAGGAACGCAAAATGTTACTGATTCCGGTGAAACACAACAGTGGTCTCGGATTATTCGAATCCTTTTTAGTGTTTCAGTCAATATAACAATGTATCTGGATATTTAAGAACACCATCACGTGATTATTAAAATCCGTTTACTGTAGTTGTTCAACAAATGAACTCACGGTGTTGTAAAATTGTGGAAACTGTCGGTGAATATTTTAAATGAGATGTAGTAACAAATATTTAACAGTAGATTCATCGTTCACACGGTGGAATAAAGTTAAAAAAATGCATAATATGAAATGTCATCAAGGTTTCATTTTGTAATGATATCTTCGAGTTATGTACACTAGTATGCAAAGTAGCGGTTAACAACTTTTTGTAGTCTACGAAAATGATTGTAAAAAAAGCACGCAATTTCACCCAAGGGATCTGATCATTCCATCCAACATTTCTTGCCCCGGTTCTGAACCTCTGAAGTTTTCTGAGGCCTCAGTGAAATTATCTTCCTCTGAAGTGACAAATTTTCACGTCATGGCACAACAATAGTGAAATTCACGAGTTTAAAGAGCAGTATCCAGAAAACAATGGCACAGTCCTGTCTAGTCTTTCCTGGAGCAGTGCACAATTCGTCACATGGAGAATAACATGTGAATATTGAATATATCCATAGGAGGCATCAAATTGAGCTCCGAATTTCAACGGCATTCAGAAATTTTAGGCATGACTATTAAATTTGTTAATTGGATGGTTATGAGCTAGTTTCATATACACATTCCTTTTTTCATAAATTCGAAACTTCCAGGTAGCACAGGACTGACTCACGATTTTCAAAATCATCACGAGTTCGTTGGCCTAATGCTGAAATTTAGCGTCAAAATGTATGTTCATTCTAAAGCTAAGGTCATACTTATTCACACGTAGTGATTTGAAGAATAGCTCAATTTCGAAATATGTTTCCGTAATCCTTTGCTTTGACTCCTCAAATAGATGGTTTTGGTTTATTACAGATAATTTTCAATGGAAAACTACGATTTTACCAGGTCGATGAGGGAATACAAATAAGAAATCAATCAATTTCTTGAACGAATACCCGGCTCACTCGTTAAAGTGCCTGGCATTCAGGTTGAGAAAATAGAAAGGCAAACCTCTGTACAAAATTGTAGCATTTCTTTCGACTTCCAATTTAAGGCGATGTCGGAAAGCAATTCTCGGCTCATCACTTAAATTCATCCAGCAAACGACATAACAACGGAGTCGAACAAACCAACTGTTACACCTGCAGGCAGCTACTGTGTGGTTCTGTCAATAAGTCGATTCCACAGCGCGAAATACATCAATTTCTCCAGTTCACACGCGGTTGATCGGCTATCTACCGAAGCAGAACCAAGCCGAACACATTTTGTTAGGTCGTCAAAATCAGGAATGAGTCACATTTAGTCGATCAACGTGAAAAATCTCCCCAGTTTCGCAGGCCCGCGTCGTCGTTCGTTCGTCAATACCAGGCGACTGGATAGCAAGCGAACTTGACTACGGAGTTCATTAGTGATTTTCTTCGCGTAACACGGAGCCTCTCCAGTGTGCCGAAACACACACAGTCAAGCGACAGATACCTGAATTTCTCAGAAAAACCTGTGGATAGTTTTATCAACAATAGGCCCACAGCATCAGTTTTGTCTTACATTTTATTACACGCCGTCACAAAATGTCTCCAAATATGACGCGCTCAGTTACATACTGCGATATACTCGTTTCAAGTTCAAATCGGAATCAGACTGTCTCCCTTTTGAGTAATCAAGTTTCATTCAGGATCGAATTTTTCTCAAATTTTTCTGAGTAACTTGATATGTTCAAAAATTGTGAATAACTACAACTCAGAACAACCACATAGAATATTTTGCAGGTTAAGTTGAAACAATTACGCTTATGCCATCATGAAAATATTCTGGTTTAGGAGTACGCCTTGCATTAATTTGCTCACATGAGTTTTCCATATTTGAAAATGTCGTGCTTTTAAGGATGCTGTGGACTACGCAGAATGTCTGCCATATAAATGCTTGAATGTATTTCGATGGGGCCTTGGTACATCATTTAATCGTTCTTGGCATATTTTCTGAACAAAATATGATCTATGATTGTAACAGAGGACGTGTACCTTCCATAAATGCTAAACATTCCCATGAGTATCCAAACCCAGTATGTCGATTGTTTACTTTCATTTTTGACTCCGTGAAGAGTTGAAATAATTTTCTTCCCAAAATGCTTGGTGGGAAAGATAGGTAATTTTCGGCAACAAGAAGAGAACTATTCCTAATTCAGCGTCTCCTGTTATCCAAATACCTACAACCGTTCTACTCTTCTTTCTTATTCTCCGTATAAAGAGTCCATATTTCATTAACCACGTAATAATTGTCCTGTAAACAGCATACACTTAGGTTGAAATTTTTTATAAGCACACCATATGCCTGGCACCAAAGCTGTTTTGTGAGTTGGAAAAGTAGGAGCTTCACAGAGCTGTAGTGTATAAGATGTGTCAGTGAATCTGATGTGCCGTACCGTCAGGTCTTCGGTAGAATGGTCTTCATACAAGGAAGTCGAACAGATAGAATTCACCAAGTGTGACTCAAACCAAAGTACACTTGGGAATGACGTGCACACTGGTTACGCTAAATAAAAACGTGCACGTCGAGAAAAATACCTAGGCTGAATATAGGCCTGAAGATGTCACGAGATTTATTGTTTCTATGTGATGAAAAGCATTCAAACATTCTACAACAAACCATGGATGCAAAACATTTAAAAACACCGTATGCTAGACTGCTGAATGAGTGGCCAATCCCATTTGAAATTATTTTATGGAATAAATTGCTGGGGATTTCATTATCCGCTTGATAATAAATCCCATATCCATTGATACCCCTTGTCATCCTCAATGGAACACAACAAACGCGCTTTACAGCTTTATCACATTTATTCTGACCAGAATGAATTATCTTATAGAAGATAATTTGCATGGAAAGTGGGACGTTTAGTTCGGTGTTAGGCCAAATCTGAAATATTATCCTTAATCAAGGGCTGACGAAAGGTTTCCTGCTAATGAACATTACACCCTTTACACATACTATGGGGGTTTGTTCGACTGAGTCACGGATTACAAATAACAATCAACAGAGTTGAGTTACTGAAGGACTTAACGATTTACTGTTGACGGAAAAGCATTTATCCTATTGAAACAGATCCATCTTATTTTTGCATCTTCGAATAGACGTTGGTACTGTGGACCAAATGCAGCTGGAATTCATAGTATGAGGAGTAAACCCAACTCGCCTTCACCAGACAGCGAATCTTATAAGCCGGAGTGATGTAAAAACATTTCCGAAGAAAAACAGTATATTGCCATTCAGCTGATTTTTAATATCTTTCAACACTAAGGATACATGATATAATTTGCATAAAATAAAAGTGAACATCAAATTGCGTAACAGAAAATATGAATGGTATAACATCAAGCTCACCCGAAATAGTAAGGCACGCGGTTTAAACTGTCAGACACTCCATTGTGAGCATTTTGAGAAAACCTCCAAGAACACAGTGTTCCAAGTGAACGTTCATTTTAAAGTTAATTGTTTGACCAATCAAGGTGTCGCGATGAAAGCTAGATTTTGATTTGTGGTTCCATTCGCCAAAAGCATGATAGTGAGTTAGACAAGAGACGTCGTGTAAACTGGCCACTAAGGTTTTTATTCAAAGCATGAAAGTGAACAAGTCGAGAAGGAATGAAAATCGACTCATCGGTCTGTGTTCTAATTGTGCCAATTATCTTGCAATTCATCTCTTTTTGAGCATGTACAATTTTTGTTAGCCTTTTATCATTGGAATAGGACAGTTATATCCGGTGGAAAAAACTGTAGCTCTTAGTTTC